AGATCTACTGCTATCGTCTCAAACTCAAAACCCCCCAAACAAAGTTCAGTGCCCTCTTTTCTTCCAACAATCTAAATCCTCTACCTGATTTCCTTCCTTTAACGAGATCATATTTTGACGAAAAGTTCAACATGGTCGCCAAATTGTAAAACAAGCAGATTATCTTTTTCTTCTTATAGTTTTCTTATTATTGTTTGTTTACATAGTTCTTACTATCCCTAATTATATTAGTGATCTATGATTAATTTTAATTTTGAGGTAAACTCTACTTCTGAAAGAGAGGGATCTATAGAGGTATTTTGAGCCAAGTTACAAGACCATTCCTGTAAATGACAACTCTCCAGTAATAATTAAATTATTTACTTCTAAATTTTATTAGTGTTCCATTGTGAAAGGAAGCTGTCACTCCTTCATATTTCTGCAGGTTGATTATTGTAGCTGGTCAATAGTTGTTGGTAGTAGAATATGATTTAAAACAGCAAGTTGGAATTCCTTCAACTGAATTTGACCATCACCATTCCTTACATATACTCTATGCCTATACCATTCTTTTTGCATAGACTATTTTCTTTATATCTCATTTCTTCTCAACAAGCATCTTACAAGATCCAGCAAAAGACCAAGCCTTCTGGATTGCTTCCCTATCCCACATTCCCTACAACATTACTGTTTGTGTTTTCCTTTTGTCACTTGGCCCTCTGTATTTTCTCCCCTGCTGGATTTTAAGTTCCATAATGGGAAAGGTGGTAGTTTCCCAATCATCCATAGCCAAATTGTACCTAGCACAAAAGGCTGTGCATAGAATTTGGTGAAGAAATCTTCTTGAATTGCTCAACATTGTACATTAAACATATATTTGTTGATTGACTCACTTCAGTGCATAGTTGTGTGGTTAAGGGAGAGAATAATACAGAAGAGGAAATATTTTGTAAGTTGTTTTCTGAATCTCCAGGGCAAACTGCTTGAGGCATTGACTAGAAAACTGGGCCATAATTCTTCTATACTTGGGAAAATGTATGATTATTAATAGATACAAAGGGAAGAAGCACATATTATGTGTAGCATAATTTTTAAAAAGCTATATAGAATCCTGCTACTGTAGCTGCATATAAGCAACCATCTTAATAGTAAGTTTATTCCTTTAAGTATTTTTCTCTTCAATATCTTACATAAGAAAACGGAGCCAACATTAAAAAGGATTTTCCTCATCCTCCAAAACATACCAAAGGCAAAATCCAGAAATTCTATGCCAAAATGTTTTACTTAGGCTTTGAAGTAAACCAAGAAAACATTTTATTTGTGATTACCATGTAGTCTCAAATTCACACATTCAATTTTTGACACAGTGTACCATAATTTGCTCAAGTAGCAAGTCTGTGTTGGTATCAAACTGTAAAGCTGAAAAGTAAAATTGTATGTTATGAAAATAATCGATTTAAACAAAATGTTTTGTTCCCCTGCTTTTGGAATTTGTTCTGCAAGCTCTTCATAATCCTCACCTGTCTTCATTTCAAAAAAAGCTGAACACTGCTGTTTTGCTCTTTATTTTATTAATATGAGAACTAGAAACCAAAAGCCATGGAAGAATTGTTTCAAAAAACAGCAACATCTGAGCAAAGTGTGAAACTTTCAAAAACTTAGAAATTCATATTTCTTATGTCTGTTTATGAAATTTTCTCACTTGTGTTTAATAATTCCTCTTTACATTTCTTGTACCTGACATATTCTAATAATGAAATCTTCCAATTGTGTTATAGTAGTAAATATTTTTGTTCTGCTGTTTTTGCCTTAATAAAACTCACTTACTAAAAAGTAGAAATTATGCCAAGATAAGAGAAATAAAATATCATCTGCAGGCTTACAATAATAGTCTAAGAAAATGCTAGAAATTGCATAATGATATTACACTGATCAAATTTTGTACTAGTAGAAGCAACAAGAACTCTCATAAATTGCTACAAAGAGTGTAAATAGGTCCTACTACTTTGGAAAACTTGCAGTATCTACTAAGACTAAACATACTCATACACACTCTGTGATTCAGCAATTCCTCTCCTAGAGAAAATCTTGGACCCAATCCACACAGTCTCCAAATGCGTGTATCTACATGCATTCATGTGTATTTGCAAAAAGACATGTTCAAGGATGTTCATAGCAGCATCGCCAAAACATAAAAAATACCCAAATATTCCTCAACAGGACAATGGATAAATTGTGATGTCTTCATATAATGGAATATCGTACAGCAATGAGAATTAAAAAGCTATTGTTGCAGGCAACGATATGGATAAATCACATAAATATAACGTTCATAAAAATAAAGTACGCTCAAATGAGTACTTAAAGTTCAGAAGTAAGAAAAAGATATTTATTGTTCTATAAGTCAAGATAGTGATTATCTTTGGGCAAAGTAGTGCCTGGAAAGTGAAATGGTGGTGGGAGGGGGTGGGGTGAGTGCTTCCATGATATTGACAATTCTTTTTTTTCAAGTAATTTTATTGCTATCATAATGGTTTATAACATTGTATAGTTTTGGGTGTACATTATTCTTTATCAATTTCTGAAAACGCTTCATCTTGTTCATCCCCAGTAGTCTAATTTTTGTGCATCACCATACATATGTGCCCCTTTATCCTTTTTGCCCAGCCCCCAAACCCCTTCCCTTCTGGTAACCACTAATCTGCCCTCTTTATCCATGACAATTCTACTTTTTGATCCATGGGCTTTTTACATGGGTGTGTTACCTTTGCAAAACTTTATATGGAATCTTATTTGTGCACTTTTCTCTGCATGTTGTATCTCAATAAAAAATTTTTAAATCTTTACAGTCTATGAAAAAAAGCTTATACTAGCAAATTAATTATAAATGTCTATGGTTTCTGACTGCTGTTCCTGACTCCAAATTGCCTTAGAAATAATATTTTTAAATTAGAAAGATATATTTATCAATTAACACTAAATACTTTTTTATCTTTATTTCTTACTTTACGTATTTCCTTTTTGCTCAATACATCACAAATAGACTTAGTAAGTAAAGAATAGTTTTCATAAAGATATTTATTTTACCAAATATTTCCAGTAGAGGGAGCTTCACTTTCTTTACTGTAGAAAATTGTCTTTCAAGGGCCATCATCGAAAATAAAAATATTTAATTTCTTTACATACGATTAAGTTCTTCATCAAGTGATGAGTTACTCTCATCTAAGACTAGCCTAAGATAGAGAAAAGTCTTACTCGATTTATGAAAGAAGAAAGCTAAACTTGACAGTGAAGGAGATATGTATCGCACAAACTTCTATATTGGGTATGTGTTGTTTAAGGGATTAAATTTTTGGATTATTCATAAAATGCATTTTTAACTAAAGTTATTTAATATTAATGAAGGTAAATTCTTATAATTATGATCATCAATTTGAAATAAAATTTTTGTGAATTTCAATAAAATTACATAAAAATCAGAGGATTGAGTGGTGAAGATTACATAATCTATCTAAGATTATATTATATATCTAAGATTATAGCAAATATCATGGTAAATTGTCATTACACAAACTTGACTTCATTGACCAAAATGTCTCAGCTACTGATATTAAACTTCCTAAAACTAAGTGTCTGTCAACGAAGCTATTTTGATATCTTTTAAAAATAAATATGTATGTTATCATCTAAGATACTAAGAAATAATTACAGTAAAGTGGTCAAATTCTCTTATAACATGAATTTTTTTCTCCTTTTAATGAAATTTTCGCAACTATAAAAGCTCTTAACTCTTTCTTTTGATCACTACATGTAAAATTTGTGACAATTACAAAGTTATAAAAATTTACTGTCATATTAAAATACTTTTCACTGAAAATATTCTGGTTTATAATAGTTCAATCCCTTCAGAAAAAAATCAATAATTTCAGAAATGTAATAATCTTCACAACTAGTTCCTGTTAATACAGGCATATCAAAATAATATAACTTTCTGTAAGTGAGTTTTTATGAGATATGCTATGTTTAGCACGTCTAAAGATGAAAAACTGACCTAGCAACCCAGAAAAGAATGTTTGTATACTTCAAATAGAAGTCAACATTCTTATAACTTACTCTACTTATTTGATTTCAATCCTCTTGAAAAGCTTGTGAGCCATAAAAATGGAAACTTTAAGGTAATTATAATAGTGACATAAAATTTACTTTGTGGCTCAAAAATCTATATGAGCAGAATTTTGCTTATACTTTGTTTGGTTAAGAATAGGGGTTAAATTTTCTGATCTTTTGCCTAGTCTGTCTTCTCTTCTTTAAATTAATCAAAAAGAAAAAAACAAGTCTACCAAATATGACTCAACATGATAAAGAAATGACATGTCACAGAACAATTTTATTCTTCAATAGGTTTCATATAATTTTACTTTCTCCAAAAGGATTATTCTTGACATAGAATGTATCTAATGATTTATTTATTATTTTCCCTCCATGTATTACCTGAACTAAGTACTTCCAAGGCCTTTATTTTCATATTTATTTAACTTAAATTCTGGATATGTAAACAATGTTCAGAATTTCTCTGATCAGTACATGCGTATGTTCTAGAGTTTTTGCCTTTTAAAAAGTTAATAATGCTCCATTTCTAATTACTAAATGCTTTGTAACTTTCAAAAAGAGAATAACACCCAGAATTTATAATTCACTTAGAAAAATAAAACTCTAAAAGCAACTTGAGAAAGGAAATCTAGGCTTTGGAAATAATTTTTCTCGGGTAATTCTCAGCTGCAAATAATATGAAATGCCAGCTACTAAAATGCACTAATTAGTGAAAATAGAGCAAAGTTACGTGTTTTCAGAGGTCTCAAAAAAATACCCTGATAGATGGGTTTAGACAGAAAACAATACGATTTAAGGGATACTTTCAACAAATCAATTTCTAATTGCATTCTTGGCTTCATCAATAACCAGTGGTTGCAAGCTAGTACACAGGCTTTAATGAGTTCTCTGTTAAACACAAGTGGACTCACCTGAGTAGCAGTGCTGCTTCCCAGAAGTAAAATCCCGAAACTAATGTTCGAAAATGTCTCACGTGGGCCATGATACGACGAGATATTCACGATCCTGAAATTAGTCTTATCCAAGGCATGGGGAAGGAGAAAGCCAGGAATGAAAATGTGCAATCTACTCCGTGTGGTGATGGAGACAGACGCCTGGAAAGCTTCAGCACCTTAGACAGCTCCCTGCAGTCCGTGACGATCCTCTCTTTCAAACACGTGAAATTCCCGTTTGACCCCTTCTCTGAGCATTGAGCAGACCGGAGATTCACAGGGTTACAAGTGTGAAGATGATTTATACAGTGAAAGCGGAATAAGGAGTGAGATGAAATGTCCGAAGTGCCTAGGTTCTGGGCAACAGTTCACTGGAGCCCTAGCCGCAAAAGAAGAATGCTTGTCTTTTCTTGACTCCGACTCACGACTGGAGAAAGGACAGAAGTCACAGCTGGAACAACGATGCTTCTTCACCTGCTCCAAGCGCCACCCGTCCGGATCCCACTCTCCACCTTTGGGTAAAATCTGAGATAGCCAGCGCGGCAAAGGGAAGAGGGGGCGGGGTCAACGATGCTGTCTTGCCCGCCAATCACGACTGTACAGAGGGACAGAGTGACAGACCATTCATGACGGTAGGCGGTGCTTAGCGCTTCACCCTTAAAAAAAAAAAAAAAAAAGCAGTGAGCGACTGATGCAGAGCCTAAACCGCGACTGGAGGGAGTTGCAGAAAGGAAGCTTCAGGGCTAAGAGCTAAGAAGAGTCAGAGGCTTTTGTGGACTAGGTAGCACAGTTGCGCTGGATGAACCCTCCTTTGTTCCCTCCCAGGAAAATGCACAATTTAGTTAAAGAAAGGTCTTTAGGATATGACTCCGTCTCTTTGACCCTGCATCGAAATGAAACGACATAGAAATGTCAACAGTAAACCCAGACTCTTGCAAAGGGCTAGAGAAGAGCAGAGAGAGTGGTGTTTGAGTACCAGAGGAACAGGAGAATCAGCTGTTTCTGGAATTCTCTCATAACCCTGGCCAGCTTCTGGTAGGGAAGCGTTATTAACTAGGTTAAGTTGAGTTTCCTTCAGTCATAATAAGGGTTCTAAAAAGATGAAGGTGGGAAATCTAAAGAGATGGCTACTAGAGGCATAAGGCCACCCACCATTTTTTTCTTAACACGTTTTCCATATCTTAACAGTAAGTTCAAGTGAGAAAGACAGGTAGGTCATGTGGTACATCTGTTTTTCTGTCATCCGTCTCACCATCCCCTCCCCATGACCATTTACATGGGGACTTGGATTGGAAGACTGGAAAGGAAAAGTAAATCTGTGTGTATTTTTATTTAATGGAATCTTTTAAAATTAAAACTTATGCTTTTAGATCTTTGTAGTGGTTTTTATTTACTATCAACCAAGATCAAAATGTTCGTTCCTTGAATCTTAACCTCTCCCCAAAACTCTCTCGGATATTTATTCTGAAAGCCTTACTTTACTCTTAATTTTCTCAATGACTAAACTACATGCCAAGAAGATCTTCTTACTCCTTCTCACAAACGTTTTCTCTTTAATTAAATTCCACCTGCAATTAACATATCAATTATCCTGTAATTCTCTATTTAACTGGAAGAGTATGGCATTATCTTCCGACCTTCTCAAATGATGACACAGTGAAAAAAAATCTCTTTTCTCTTTACTCTTTAGTAGACAAGCCTATTTACATTCAGTGAAAATAAAGAACTGTTAAATTTATTTCCATACGTTATTACTGTACCTGTCTGTTTTCAGATCTTGTTTTTCTGATTTAAATTACAGACTTTCAGAAGTCTCACAAGGAATATCATTGATTCTGCCCATGAATATTTGTGTCCTGAGAAGGTTCACACAATTTTAATTAACTCAGTTTTTGAATGAATCCCTTGAAAGCTAAGTACAAATGCTTTTCAGTTGGTCATTCTTTGAATAGCAGTAATTGTTTTAAAAACTGCACATAATCAAAAAACAAAACTTTACCATATTTTCAAGAAGACTTGGATTTCTTTGTCTTGTTTTACCACTTACTGAGTATCTCTAGAAAAGTAATCTACTTTTAAAAATATCTTTACTTAATATATCTTTAAAAATATATATGTATTGAGAAATTGAATTAAATGAACTCTGAGATTCATCCTCTGGCCAAAGGAGACAACCAATAAATGTTTACTTAACTGAGCAAATTAATAGATAATATTTAAAGTTCTGTGTTTAGGTTAATCTGGATAGTTATGTTACATGACAGCTTAAAAGGTAGAATGATTTTAACTATTTCATCTCATCATTAACATGAAAGCGTAGGAATATTATACTTTATCAAATTAATATATATCTAGTCAATCAGTTTCTCGGATATCAACGTCATATAAGAGGATGCCTGGAATCCGCATATTATTCACTTTTCATAGCACCATGATTATTTCCTTCAAATTATTTATGACAAGCTATCATCTTCCTCATTTATTTGTCTGACTTTTCCACTGGAGTGAGGATAATTGGCATTATTTAGCACAGAACCTAGCATATAGTAGATACTCAATATTTGTTGAATGCCCTAGTGATCATATTAGAAACAAAATATATTTCTTTAAATAATTGCTAAATTCATGAACTTGTTGCAGTGCACTGGGTATTGGATTAAATTTGATTAAATAAATTAGAAATTAATGGAAGAGTGGATTGTAGTGCCTTGTTTCTTTTAGTTAATATTTGATAGTTAATTTTCCAGCACTTCCTGTCTATGGATTTTTATCTTGTTTGTTTTTAATTCCTATAAGGCCAAAATTAATTTCATGCATCTACATATTTGTGGTAGCTATTCTTATACATTTTACTCTCTTGAAAATGATAGTTCTGACTGGATGAGTAGGTAAATGAAGGTGTTTTTGGAAAAAAGAGCAATCTATGGCTGATAACTAACTGGCTAGCCCATTCATGTAAAATTAACATGGATTCTGACGTGGCCAAATCTCTGCTTTTCTCCTTGTGGGCTTTGTTATTTCTTTCTTGTACTAATGGATCATATTTCACATTATACAAGACATGGGACTTAAGAGGTTAATGAGATATTAATCTTCATCATATTTAATATTTTCTTTTTACAGAAGAATTAATTGTAGCCCAAAGTGGTTAAACATACAAACAAGCCCTCATATTCAGCAAGTTGAAGATATCAAACTTGAATTGGGTGCTTCTGGCTCATTGTTTAGTATATTGTCCACTACCATAGAGCTACCTTTAATGCCATATTTACACTATTGTTTCAAAATATATAAATATTGTCTAAGCTACAGAAAAGTAGATCAATATCAATCTAATGATAAAGATTTTCTCGTATGTTCAGTGGTTATTACCAATGATCTAAAGCATATAGTATTGTATAGATATTGCTAAAATGACTTGTTATTTAGTACAAGACATTTACTTTTTGAAGTTAATGCAGTATGAAGTTAGCAATAGTTTACTGAGAGATGATAAGATTCAGTACCGTTGGGTAATTCTAAGCATCTCAACAAAAGCTTATGTATACTTCAAAATACTGGTTTAAAAGGTTGCAAAAAGTAATGTCACTTTTGGAAGAATTAGAATATTCTCATCTTTGAATTAACACTCTCTGGGAAGTAAAATAAAGTTTTAATTTAGGAATCAATCAGAAAGTCACTCGTTGAATACAAATCAGGTAGAAGAGAATTAATCCTATGTCAGTGATAGATACTATCACCAAGTATGTGAGCCCAATGAATTTATTTTTTGTATAAGAATCTATCTACTGAACAGACTACATACAATAATCATGACATGTTAGCTGATCAGGCGACTCTCTTTTTGTTATAGTGGTAGAAATATCCAATAATTTATCTCCATTTCCTTGTCCAGGCGACAAATTTTCTCATACGAATGTCAGCAATAACCTAATTGTTCCTCTTGCTTGCCCTCTTATTCCCCTTGATCAATCCTCCACTGTGACTATTAAGGGTTTTTTGTTTGTTTGATTTAGTAAATCAGATGATGCTACTTTTGTTCCTAAAAACTTTCAGTGCCTTTCCATTGCAACAGATTAAAATCCACATTCCTCTTCACAACTGACAAGGTTCTGAATGATTTTCCATTGATAATCTCCTTAGCTTCACTTTTTACTAGTCTCTCTTTTCCCCGACTTTGCACCAGTCACATGAGCTGTTTCTTGTCTCATGATTTTTCTACTTCAAACACTTTTCTTCTTAAGCTTCCTATGTCTAGTCTCTTTTCAGGCGTTAACTCACAGTATGAATATTTCTCTCTCTTTCTTTCTACAAAAAGTTTCCTTTTACCTTTATATCATGGTTTATTTCCTTCAAAGATTAAGTGATAATTTGATGTTTGCCTTTGTTTGAATACTCCTGGAAGGCAGGGGGACTATGCGTCTTTGTGCCTACAGTGTCTGGCACATAGTAAGTGATCAATACATATTTCTTGAGTGAATGAATGTATAAACATTCTTTGATTTTTGGTTCTCCCTTTTCTAGAGTCCATCCTTACTAATCTCATTTAACTCATTTTTCTTTATAAAATTATTTAAGATCTTTAGATTGTAGTGTTTTTTCCATGCTAAACATATGCCTTGATCATCTAAAAATAACCTTCAAAAAGATGCTGCTAAGACCAATGTCAAAGAGTGTACCGCCTATATTTTCTTCTAGGAGTTTTATGGTTTCAGGTCTTATATTCTAATATTTAATCCATTTTGAGTTAATTTGTGTATGGTATAAGGTAATGGTCTACTTTCATTCTTTTGCATGTGGCTGTCCAGTCTTCCCAGCACCATTTATTGAAGAGACTTTCCTTTCTCCATTGTATGTTCTTGGCTCCTTTGTCAAAGATTAGCTGCTCATAGATGTGTGATTTTATTTCTGGGCTTTCAATTCTGTTCCATTGATCAATGTGTCTGTTTTTGGGCCAGTACCACGCTGTTTTGATTACTATAGCATTGTAGTGTATTTTGAAGTCAGGGATTGTGATGCATCCAGCTTTGCTCTTTTTTTCTCAGGATTACTTTAGCTATTCGGGGTCTTTTGTTGTTCCATATAAATTTTAAGATTCTTTGTTCTACTTCCACGAAGAATGTCATTGGGATTCTGATGTATTGGATTAAATCTGTGGATTGCTTTAGGAAATAAGGACATTTTAACTATGTTTATTCTTCCTATCCATGAGCATGGAATATCTTTCCATTTCTTTACATCATCTTCCGTTTCTTCCAATAATGTCTTATAGTTTTCAGTGTATAGGTCTTTCACCTCCTTGGTTAAATTTATTCCTAGATATTTTATTCTTCTTATTGTTATTGCAAATTGGATTGTGTTCTTGACTTCTCTTTCCACTAGTTCATTATTAGTGTATAAAAATGCAACTGACATTTGTAAGTTGATTTTGTACTCTGCAATTTTGCTGTAGTTGTTGATTATTTCTACTAGTTTTCTGGTGGATTCTTTAGGGTGTTCTATATATAAAATCATGTCATCCACA